GTAATGATACCAATAATGGTAATAATAATGATAATGATAACGACATTAATGATAACTATATTGATAATAGTAATAACAAATAATAATAATATTAGTAATAATAGTAGTTACTATCATTATTATTATAATAACAACACCAATGAAAATAATAATGATAATAATGATAATATCAATACTGACAACAATAATAATGATAAAAAACAATAATGCTATTATTGTTATCATTACCACTATCATTCTGATTATTCCTAATAGTAATAATAATGTTAACAGTAATGATAAAGGTTGTCATTCTTATCAGTATTAGTATCAGTAGTAATATCTGTAGTAGTAGAAGTAGTTGTGTGATAGTAATAGTAGTCGTACTATTATTGGTAATAGTACTAGTAGTAACAGTATCAGTAATATTAGTAGTAGTAGTACTGTTTTTATCATCATTATTATTTATTATTTATTATTATTATCACCATCTCCATTATCGGGAAATAGGAATTGTATCAACTCTATTATTATCAACATTATTAATACGACTACCTTTATCATCATTATCATTAACATTATCAAACACCAAGGGAATGCGTCGTCGTAACCATATAGGAATTAAATCTTATTCGACTTGACATTAAATCTTCCCAATATTGCACGCGGGAATCTTGCAACGTGAAGCGATTAGCTTTCTCAGCAGGACGGGGGTTCGCCGTTGCTTTGAAGATAGGGATTTTCTTTTTTCTCTCTCTATCTCTTTCTTGCTTCCTTTCCTTTCCATTCTTTTCTTCTCCTTTTTCTTTTCTTTTCTTTTCTTTCGAATTCATGGATTTCTTAGCACCATAACTCTCAGTATTTTCTTTTTAATTATTCCCCTCCTTTCTCCTATTTCGTTTTCTATTTGTGTCTTTAGTTTTCTTATTTTTCTTTCTCTTTCTTGTCCGAATCCTCCATTCCTTACCATCCTCCTTCACAAGATCCCTTCACGCGTATCTTCATCCTGCACTCCACCTTGTCAGTTTGTCTAAAACGGTCTATAATTGTTACTCACTTTGTTTATACCGGACTCAATTGATGCTCAGTTTGTCTGTAACAGTCTTAATTGATACTCAGTTTGTATATTGCTTTCTCAACTGATGTATCTTCCTCCACTCTTGTACAAAGTTATCACGGGGCGGGGTTCTCTCTCCTTTTGTATTCTCGACTCCCACTGGCTTATCAGTTCCTCGAAGACGCGGATTAGAATATCTGGTACCATTGGCAGCAACGCATTCAAAGACACTGGCTCTGAAATTGCGAATTGGGATTTCTTGATGTGTATATATATATATATATAGTTTTTTTTTGTTTGTTTGTTTGTTTGTTTCGCTGTTAAGAAATTCATAGATTCATGAGTAAGAGCGAGTTCCTGCTCCACGTAGATGCTGATTTCGCGACGGATGACAATGCATGGCAGATTTTTCAGTGCATGTTTAGAAATCCGTCTGAGGTATAGATAAGCAGGCATTATTCCTGTCAGATTTTTCTTTTTCTTTTTCTTTTTCTTTTTTTTTCCACTAACTATAACGTAATTTTCAGGTTTTGGACAATAATTCGAGTGATGTGATTTTCCGTTCTTCAATTTTCCCGCCACTGTGCGTAAACTATGCGTGTAAGTAGGCGTCAGTGGGCGATCCTGCTGCTGTTCCCTAGGTATTTGCCTTGGGTAGCTGCTTGTTTTTACTCTGATTAATTTTCATTTTCGTAATTATCCTCATTACTGCCGTCAGTTTCGCCCTCATCTTTGATTGATATCATCTGCATCATCACCTCACTTGTCATTATCGTCACTAGCGATATCCGTCCAGCTCTCTCCTCGTCTCATTTCCCCTTCTCACCCCCCCCCTCCCTTCCCCTTTTCTCTCTCCAACGATCACATTAATCAAACTTCCTACTCTCCCCCCTCCCCCACTCTTCCCCCCACCCCCGCCCCTGCTCCTCCTCCTCCTATCCCCCGTCTCTTCTCTTCCTCTCCCCCACCCATTCTCCCTCTCCCCCCCCCCCCTATCTAACCCTCTCCGCACCCCTGTCCTCAGCCATGTGCGCCTCCCCCCCCCACCACCACCACCACTGCCCACCCTACCAGACCGCCCACCCTACCAGACCGCCCACCCTACCAGACCGCCCACCCTGCCAGACCACCCACCCTACCAGACCACCCACCCTGCCAGACCGCCCACCCTACCAGACCGCCCATCCTGTCGGACCGCCCACCCTACCCTGTCTTAAACGCCCACTCCGTAAACAGATTTCGTAAACAGATAATCAAATGACATTATATCCGGGAATTTATCATCATGAAGTGGAGAAGCTAAGCAAGGGGTGACGGTGTGGAAGATGGGGAGGTGGAGGATAGGAGGAAGAAGAAGAGGAGGAAGAAGAAGAGGAGAAGGAGGAGGAAGAAGAGGAGGAAGAAAAGGAGGTGGAGGAAGAAGAAGAGGAGGAGGAAGAGGAAGAAGAGGAGGAGGAAGAAGAT